TGTCCGGGCCCGGCCCGGGCCCGGAACAGTGCCCAAAAATGGGCACTGGGCTTGGCATGGCCGGGCCGGGCCGGGCCGGCCCGGCCCGGCCATTCGAAGAACCAGTGCCCATTTTTGGGCACTGTTCCGGGCCCGGGCCGGGCCCGGACAGGGTTTGGCATGGCCGGGCCGGGCCGGGCCGGCCCGGCCCGGCCATTCGAAGAACCAGTGCCCATTTTTGGGCACTGTTCCGGGCCCGGGCCGGGCCCGGACAGGGTTCGCCAACGGCGACCCGGCGGGCCCGGGCCGGACACCGGGCCGGGTCCGGGCTCCGGGCTTTTTGGACACCCCTAACCAAACGTGTAATAAATTAAAAATTACTAAATGTAATTTTAATTTACAAGGAGATGTCAAACTACGTAAGAATTCCAATATATTAATCAAAGATCTCAGATCCACCACCAAACACTCGTAAACTTTTAAAATACACAATCGCCAACGCTCCCCTGATCGATATGCGAAGATTTTAAACAAATAAAATGTATACATCTTTTTGATTATTTATTCGATTGGTATCACCAATGCTGCTCACGGGAAAGATCTTGTCGCTGGTGGGTACCCAATAATATCCCACTACCTGATCACGAAATTCGTTGGCGAGAGACCGAGGAGGAGAAGACGGGATACTTGGTTAATTAGCATTTGGATACCTACAGTTTTCCCCACTTCGCATTTATATACCCTCACTCCGACTTTTCGATAGCAGTCTTATACCCTAAAGTTTCTAAAATATGCATTTTAATACCATGTGTCATGGTAAGTTTATAAATTAGTGACTGTTGAATTTACTTTTAAACCTACCATAATTCTATTTTAAAATATAATAGAGTAGGTTTAAAATAAAACTATGGTATGTTTAACAGTAAATTTAACAAATGTTAAGAGTTAAAACATTCAAATTAGCTTATAAGTATCACAATGGAAAACTAAGAAAATTTAAAGCCTATACTAGTGTGCTATCCGTACGAAGCACGACCTTTCCTTTTTTTTTATCGCTACATTAATCCTAATTTTTTAAATGCCACAATAATGTTGTTTTTAAAAAGCTACAGTATCCGACCTCTGCTACAGTAATATATTTCAAAAAATGCCAAGGCAATATTTTTTAATAATGCAACGGTATCACTCCTATGCTACAGTAATATTTCTTTTTTTAAATGCCACAGTAATAATGCTACAATAAATTATTGTCTCATTTACTGTAGTGTGAATAGTGATTCTTGGATCCTCCCATTATTATAGAGAAATAGATTTCCTTTAAATGCCCTGTAGTTTCACAAACGTTGCACTTAAGTGACCCCTATTTTAAAACCGAGAAAATAAATACCCTAAAGTATTTAAATATTACAGATCACTACCTCGAAGTTAAAAAGTTCCAGATGATGTTAACATTTCCTTACGTATCCAAGAATATCATGTAATACATGGTACTAAAGTGTAACTTTTAGTAACTTTAGGGTATTAAAGTGAGGTTATTTATAAACTGAAGGTATTTATATGCAATATTGGATAAACAAGAAGGCATTACCCTGCAACATTAAGTAAACAAGGGGGCATCAAACTGCAATATTGTGAAATTTCAGGTATTTATCTGTAACATTTAAATATTTGGGATATTTATTGCTTGGTTTAAAATAGATGTCTTAAGGCTTGTTTGGATTGAGGGGAATAAGGGTGAAGGGAAGTTAGGGGAACCATTCACTTTGTTTGGAAATATTTAGGAGGTGAAGTTATTCACCATAGTTCCCCTTGGTTCCCCCCCTAATAGTATAAAATTTGTTTACCCCCCAAATTGCATAGTAGTTATTCTCTCCTCATGGATCCCCTCCTAATATCTCCTAATGAGGAGATCTTGACCATCAATCTATCCATGGACGGTCAAGATTAACTCCTCCTCCCCCTCCTACTTCTCCTCATGAGGAGATCTTGACCGTCCATGGATAGATTGATGGCCAAGATCTCATTAGGAGATATTAGAAGGGGATCCATGAGGAGAGGATCTCAATCCATAACCAAGGGGAAGGGAACTCCCTTCCCTTCCCATCCATTCTCTCACCTAGTTTCCCTTAACTTTCCTTAACCCCATTGAAATCCAAACACACCATAAGTGAGATGTTGGTGAAACTATAGGGCATTTAAACGCAATTTAGCCTTGAGTTAGAGCATGGCGTCCCAGTGTAACTTTTGAACCTTCAGAATATACAAGTGAGGGTATATATGTGCAAACTAGGGGAAGCTACAGGGTATTTAAGTGCTAATCAGAAATCTAGCGCCAGCTGTCTTCATCAAACCCCCCCACCCACGCACCCACCCAACGAGTCATCCCTCTCATTGCTCCTATCTACTACTGTGTTATGGCTGCTGCTGCTGTAATTTTCAGAGACCCATAATCTCCCGTCTATCCCTCCAAAAATACCCATTCAGAGATTAAAAAAAGCCATGGCCTTCAACAGCAGAAACACAATCTCGGATCAGAGGAGGGAAAGAAGCGAAGCTGCCCATTTTGCTGTTTGATGTATGGATACCCTCGTCCGTGATCCTTTCTATCACGATGTCCCTCCTTTCTTCAAGTGGGTCTCTCTTCCCCTTCCCCTTTTCTTTTCATATAGTTTGTTAAATTGGTATCTGGGTTCTTTTCCTTCAGGGTTTTAGAACCGGGCCTTGAGAGATTTGATGGGTTTGGGTCTCAATTTGGTTAAAATTTGAAGGAAAATTATTCTATGCTAGTCTGTGATCTTTTGGGCTATTTAAGGTTGGCGGTTTCTTTATGCTGGATGGTTACTGCAATTTGCTATGGCAAGCTTTCATTTAACTCTTTCATTCATACAGAATTCACTTGCTAGAGCAAAATTGACTTGAATCCGTTCAGCAGACTGAATTGTTTGGAAACAAAGAATCGAACCGAACCGAACCGGAATTATTGAACAACTATTGGCCTGAATCTTCACTTCGTTAAAATTTAAAACAATGGTCTGAAACCCATTCACTAAACAATTTCTTGATATCTGTGATGTTTTACATAAAGTCGGCTATGAATATCATGACATTTTTTTGGCAAGAAAGTCAGTGATTTCAAAAGTATTTACAGACTCAACTATATGAACAGAACAGAGAGAACATACTCTCTCTTTACAGATATATCACTGCACTTTTTCCTAAACATATTCATCTCTAAGATAAAAATGATATCAATAACAAAACTATCTATCAGCTATACAAACTCTCTTCAAGAACTGAGGAAAAATGCAAACTCTGCCGCACCACCTTCTATTGCTAGGGGTATCCTCCATCCTGTCGATGTGACTCAACTTAATCTTCAAGCAGAAAATTATTTGTTGAGTTAATTTTTCCACATCAGGTTGAACTTTACTAAAGATCAAAGCATTCCTCGCAGTCCAAATAGTGCACACACTAGCTGCAATTGCAGCCCTTTTAATTTTTGCACAGTATCCTTTCCGTCTGATCTTCTAAGTGCCCAGGGAACTAAGATCCTCCGACTGAAAGGAACTACACCCTCATGTATAAAACCAGTTCTCTCCATATTCTCTTGCTAATATGACATCCAAAGAATAAATGTTCAAAAGTTTCCTGAACAAAACCACGTAGGGGACAAGAAGCATCAATGTCCATACCTATTCTTCTTGGATGAGTTCTTGTTTGCAGCATCTCATGAAAAACCAACCAAAGAATAAAAGAATGCCTTGGTATGTTCATATTACTCCACACGAGTTTACTCCAACTTACCTTAGTACTGGAATGTACCGAGGTCGTATAAGTAGCTTTAGAACTACAAGGAGGGGGAGGACCTTTCCATGAAGTTAATGTCATGATAGTGCCTATGATGAATATCATGACATTAACTTCATGAATTTCTCATAATAAAGTTCATGTCTTGATTAGCGCGTAATGAGTGTTTGTCCCGCTGCTGACGAATAACAGAATATTATACATCTGTAACTCTGGTTAGTCATTGATTAACTAAGCAAAGATTTAAGTCTCCCTACCAAGTGAGTTATATAAATGCAAATCTTCCTATTAATTGGGAATCATGCTGAACTCATAATTTTATATAAAATGCAGATAGTTATCCAATAGTCATCTTTTTGATCCCATAGTCATCTTTTTGTTATTTTATATGAAAGTTCGATACAGGATGCTCGCAGGATGCTAAAATTACAAATTACATATAAACAAGTCAGTGAAGTCACTAATGATGAGGATTTTAATAGTTGAAATTAGTTGGATAAAATGAGCAATTCCTTCTACTTACGAAGAAGGAAAGTTAATAATAAATAATGGATATATTTCAAATGCCAAATATAGTTGATAAAATGCATTAGTTGCAAGTGGTAACTGGTAAGGTTATCTTATTATAAAGTAAGTGTGAATTTTGGCTACATTTCTTTCACATAGAAACCCTTCTATAAGTTGGTGAAAATGAAAACTCAAAACAAAAGTTGTCGCCAGTGGTAGAAACATAGCATATTCCTAGAGAGTTTATTTCTCTGCAGCAACCCTACTATAAGTGACTAAAGGTTCACACTTGAATGAGTTACTTATCTGGTTGACTAATTAGTTGGGGTTATCAAAAATAGGTCAAGCAAATAGGGGTTTTTTTATTTTTTTATTTAATTCACCAACCAAAGTGTATATCAAGGTTTGAAGTTGGAAACTTATCAAATGTGAATGAATTCGTGTAAGTAGACTTCTGCATGGGAGAATTGTTGGTTTCCGGATGATATGTGATTTGTGAAAGAATCATCCAGAAAGTGAACTCCAAGGTTCAACCATTTTAAAACTTAACAAACATGATGGAATTTGTGTCAGTAGACTTCTTCAAGGGAGAATTGTTGGTTATGCGTATGTTGTGGAACTTATGACAGCATCATTTATCTTACAAAAAGTGATCTATTCTTTCGTGCCAATTTAGTTTTATTGAATATTTCTGTTTTAGTCTCGTTTCAGAATGTGCATTTTCAATTCTTCTACGTGGAATTGATTATCTTGTGTTTAGTTGGAAATTTTTTAGAAATTCTGTATCTCAGGAGATCTACATTGTTATGTTTCTTCTCTGCATTCAACTTAATTAGTTTTTATCATCTCATACTCACTAGGGTTATAACTTATAAATTTCAGAATGTCCATGAAAGAGCTTCTGGAAAGCAAACACCCTACTGCATGGGTTGAATTTGAGAATGGGCTGATTGATGAGGTATGTGTAGAAGCTTGCTTGCAAATTCTATTCACAATTCTCATTAATTGTTCTTCTACGCAGGAGATCTTTTTTATTTGTTTTCTGTTTGCCTTACCAGTTTTGCAATTTTATACCTTCAGCGCCCCATAATATATCAAAACTTTGACTGTGGAGAGATTTTTTTCCTTTTGGTTTTTGGGTGGAAGTTTTTTTACTTTATGCATCTTTTGTATGCGAAAGTTAATGTCACGCCCTCAAAATGCACAGCTTATTTTGAGATGCGTGACAACGGCAACACGTGCACAAAGCACATGTTAAGCCTGCGATGCACTTCCATGTTACAAATAAATTTTTCTTTAAAAGAAACTTTATTGACAAATAGAGAAGTCTCAGAGCAAAAGTACATTATAACAAGTTCACTCTAATGAGTCAAAAGACTCTTATTATATATGCATAGTAGCAAGACTTATATAACTTTAACTTTAACATTATAACTAAGGCTACAAAAATTATAGCCCAGTAGCATGGAAATGCGCATCAAATTACTATAGGTCAACCCAGTGATAGAATGTATCTCGCACTATTATAGGTTGCCCAAAGGCACTTTATTTTTGCTAACACGATCAGTTTAACACTGGTCGGTACATTCAATACCATACACTAGTCTTAAACAAATCACTTCACTCCATAGTGGATTTCTGAGGATTTTTACATTTAAAACACTTTTTTTGCTCAAAGTATCGCTCACAATTTTTACTTGTACGAAAAGCAATATAAATGCTTAAACACTTTTACAAACTTTTCTCATATCAATTTCATGAAAATAGAATATCATGAATTTAAACGAATATATAGTTTTTTTAGATAGAACTCTTCAAATAATGCATTTGAATAGTAAATTTGAAATGATATATTTTTAATAATCTCATATACTAAACAATATTTATCTTGTAAAAGGTAAATAGCTATCACATTCAAATTTGTTAACAATTACTATAAATGAATAGAATAACATATCTGATCCCTAATTTTTTCTACACAAAAATAAAATTATCATTTAAGTAATATATAATAGAAAATAGCCAATGGGAAGAAATCTACTCACCTCAAGAGATCTTATAACAATTTGGAGAACCGTACTCCACGAACCTACTCCTCGATCAAACCTATAATCATACAATATGCATAAAACTAGGTATAAAACTAATATTTCTAGTTTTTAGGGGGTTTTCTAAAATTTATTTCTATCCTTTTTAACAGAACTTGGGCCTAACATCAACTTTTCTAGTTTAGTGGGTCAAAAGGAAAATCTTTCCATTAAATAGATTTTATGTAGAAATATCCCTTTACAGGTTTTGGACTTAAGAGCAATTTTTAACTTTTAGAGGGGTCTAATAGAAATTTTCCTTCTCTTCTTCCTCTTATCCTATCTGGTCTATTTTGTTAACATCAGAACCCATATGAGTTTGTTAGGTTTGGCGGCCATAGAGATCACCACCGATGAAACCCACAACCGTGGATGGCCGGAGTTCATTGGATGTCACCGGAGATGACGTCGGTGGCTGGAAAGAGGTTATTATTTATCTATTCTATCTATGTTTCTAACCAAAACAAAAATAACTTACCTCTTAGAAGCTAGCCTTCGTCCTCTTCCTTCTCTGATCTCAAACCTCCTCTTCCTTTTTCTTTTGTTTTGTTTTATTTATTTATTTCTTTTTGTATGAGGATTTTGGCCACTTTTCAATCGCTTTTAAGTTCTAAACTGATGTTGCAAATAAATGCAAATAAACCCCCAATATCCTCAATTAAATGGTCCTCATACATTTCAGTTATAAACCTTTTCTATATGTACATTTTTTTAAATTAATTGTGAAAGAAAAACAATTCTCTACAGTTAATATCAATACTTGAGTTGTATTTGTTCTTCATATAGAGATTATGCCATGTGTAGTGGTGATATAATCACTAATATCACTTCTTTCATCCACAGATGAAAATTACCTTCATCTCGTTTTCTCTTGTAACAATCATGATACTACAAGAGGAACTTAGAGAGTTAGTAAAGGCGCTTGCTTTAAATAGTCATTTCTACAGGAACTTTGGAAGGAGTTGATAAAGGCCCTTGCTTTGGATAACATTGTTGTAGTTTGGGTTTTTCAGCAAATTGAGAGGATTTATATCCTATCGCTGGGAGAGTGCGGAAGTTTTCCATTCTCCTTATCTCCATCCAGCAGTCTAGATGCTTCGGTAACTGTGTAGATTCATGTTACACTGGTGGATCATATTGAAACTGTAATGAAATTTTCTTATCTCATAATGGCTATATGCCATGAGTGTATTTTCTTCCTCTTTTAATGTCTTGAGAAGACCACAGAGGCTGATTCTTTTTTCCCCCAGTTCAGTAAACCTACAAATGCCATGAATGGCTAACTGGCTCATCATAGTAAGTAAGGATGTGCATATGTCTAGGTTGCAGCTTCCTAATGCCATGCTTATGTTGCACAAGTCTACATGTGCTAAAATTATCTCTAACATATTTTTCTTTGCATTACTCATTTTATTATTTCTTTATAGTTATCTTCTTATTTATTTTTAAGTGTTAAGATCTGCATCAATTTTCTCTTTGTTGTTCATCTCAGTAACAGTAGAACTATGGTGGTTGACTAGCTTGAGCTTGTTATTTTGCTACAGAACGAGCTAGAGAGGAAATTCTTCAAAGATGGAAGAACTTTTGATCTGGAAGGTGAGACGAATTCCATTAAGAAGTAAGATGTTTATCTTACTTAAAAAATTCCTTCATTTATGAGGCCCACAGCTTATAATAGTGTGTGGAACATCATCTCCTAATAACTATTTGATCTTGTAATTTCTAAAATTATTACGAATGTATTAATGTAGATCCACAAGATAGGTTTGAGTATTGTTTTTCTTAATTGTCTTCAACGTAACCCTTCTATGAACCCTAATACTCCAATGTATTATTTATGATGGTTTGCTAGTCAGTCATTGTAATCTTTTGTTGCTAGCTTGCTGAACGCGGAAAAGTTAAACTTTGACGTAATTTTGTTGATGACAGACATAATATCTAGTATAATATGAAATTTGAGAAGTCCGTTAATCTGAGTGAACTTGGTCAAAAGGGGAAGTAATCCTACAGTGTATATAAGATTTAATATTTCAGGACCATTAGAAGGAAAGACGACAATCCTCCCTTTATTAGTAGAAGTTTATATGCAGATAATCTAGCAGAAATCCTCCAAATTCACCTAGAGGCTGTTTGTTTCCATGCACCTGGTAGGCTTTGCATTGAAAAATGGGACCCACAATTCTAGATTTTTATCAAATACATTCTTTGTTTGACATTTCCCATATCATGAATTTGGAATTGTCACATAGGATAGATACATCAAATAGGATTTGTGATTTTAGTTATGCATTCTCAACAAAATTCATTTGCAACCAAACAAAATTTGATTGTATTTTATCCCTCATACAAGTCCTCTCTAATATCCATTGCAAACAAACAAAATTCATTTGCAACCAAACAAACAAAATTTGATTGTATTTTATCTTCTCATACAAGTCCTCTCTAATATCCATTGCAAACTAACAAGATTTTGGGTATGAGTTTTTCAAAATCCCTTACATGCATCAAGATGCAATCCATGAACCAAACAGCCCCTAGTCTACGAATGAGTATAGACAAGGATGTAAGATAGTAATGATATCCTTCAACAAGTACAAATGCCAATTTCTGCTTCCACACTATCAAACCTTGGGATAGAAACAGATCAAATCAAATATTGTGTTTGTATTTGTACTTGTTTGAATTTACGAATTCAAATATGAATATAGATATCGTTCTCTGAATTTTTTTCGAATTCGAATTCAAAACAAATACTTTTTGAATATTCACGAATGTTTCTCAGATATTACAATATATTTACTTATTAATTATTTTTAGGCTATGAATGTTAAACTACTTAATAAAATGATACCTTTATTTGGTTAAAGAAATTTGGTTTAAAAACTGACATAGGACTCTTTATGTTTGTCACAACTAGTATTAAACTTAACTTACAAAATGTAAATGGATTAAAAATATAACATCATGCATGTGCTCATACAAAATTATAAGGATGAAACTTAATATAATATTTGATAATCAAGCGAATCAAATATAAATCTGGTTTTATTTTTTTATTAACTGAATCCTAAAACTATTTGTTTACTGTTAAATGACTATGAAATTGAACATATTTGAATAGTTAGACGAACAATTAAGAAACTATTTGTTAATTTATTGGTTCAGTTTCAGTCAAGCCTTAATGTTCTTTAATTTTTTTTCTTCTTTTCAGGTCTCAAGGAGTGTATGACAAGAGGATATTCGTACATAGACGGCATGGAAAATTTGCTTCATTGTCTTAAACAAAACAATTATGAAGTGCATGCTTTTACAAACTATCCTATCTGGTCAGTTTAAGTTTGCTTCCTTCACCTCTTGGCTAAATTTTCTCACTTGTCGTCTGACGTGTGAGAGATATGTAGGTACACAATGATTGAGGAGAAGCTAAAACTCTCAAACTATTTGTCCTGGACATTTTGTTCATGCAAAATGGGTAACATTTTCATTCATCCTCCTGCTAGTTATAAAACAAAAACTTTTTCGGTAGTCGTGTGAAAATTTGAAGGAAAAAAATGTTTCTTATTGGCAATTGTCAGGGAAAAGGAAGCCTGCTCTAGATTCATTTATGGAAGTTGTGCATAGTCTTGAAGTTGAGCCATCAGGCTGCATCTTTATAGATGACAGGTTTATTTTCCATTATATTGCTCTCATCTCCAAATAGCCTTAATTACATTCTCGAATATAGCACTGGTTTAACCCAGAAAATTGAGATCATCAACTATTTAGATTCTGCCTATATAATCAACTTTTCTAGATAGAAAGGCTTTCTTTAATTGTTAGTTATGTGACATTAGTGTTAACTGAAAGTCTGATTTCTCATTTCTTTGCTTATTTCCGATAGGGTTAGTTACCAGTATACCTTAGTACTGTGAGGGCATAGTCACTTATACCCCTCAACTATTTATTTACTTACAACCCCAATACGATCATTATTCCCTAAATAGGTTGGGTTGCCACATTATATTATCTTTTGATTCTTTTTCAATATAAGATAGTATTGTTCGTTTTTTATCTTCTTTTTGTTTTAAAATTTAGGATTGGGAACATCGAAGCAGCTAAAGATGCAGGCATGGTTGGGTTACATTTCAAGGATGCAGATTCTCTTAAACATGATTTGTTTCATTTAGGGGTTGAGCTGCAGATTGAAACAAGCAACACACGGTAGAAAATAAAAGAGATTTAAAAGGTTGGCGATTCTTCAACAATTTTCGCAATTTATCCACTAAACCTTGAATCAGTGTGATATGTAGGCATAATTTATGCTAAAATTTCAGTCACAATGTATATATGTACCGCCTGCATTCTTGGTACTTATCCTTGTGAGAGCATTTTAATAGTTATAAAGGAAATTTTTCTTTAAAGACCTACACTTTATTGAATAAAGAATAATTAATCTACAAAAAGGATAACGCAAAGGATGCAGAGCTGAGAGAATAAACTAGAAATCTGCATTTTTGGGTTTGCTTCTATACGTCAATTGATGCAAGCCACAAAATCCAGCATGCATGAAGCGCTCCTCCTCTATCTTCTTCAGTCTGGAGCTTTGAGTTGAAAGGATGCTCATTGTTTTTTCCCCTCTTTATTTTATTTTATTTTCTTTTCTTTTCAAATGAGCCAATCTTTTCAAGAGAAATGATTCTTGCTGCATTATATGTAAGAATGTTACTAGTTGTCTATTTTATTGGAAGCTTTGCAATTAAAGATAAGATGCTTTTAGTTTCTGTAATTTGCGATCCAGAAAAAGAAAAGAAAAGAAAAGAAAGATAAGAAATTGCACTACTGTGGTAATTTAATGTTGGATTTTAAAAAAAAAGACTATTTTCAAAGTTTTATTAGCAAAATTGACCCTCTTTTTATTTAATTAGCGAAATCCAACTTTTTGGGCCACGTCATCATGGTTGGCTAGAAAGAGGTCAATTTTACAAAATAGAATTTTTAAAATAAGCAAGACCATTAGTCCTATGTATTTTAATGGTCAGTAATTACAGAACTATCAATCTCGTTTATACGTGAAGATCTAATAAATCTGTAATTAGTGGCTGCTAAATGTAGGGAATAGTAGTTTTTTGTATTTTAAAAATTGTATTTGCAAATTGATCTTCTTTTGACTAGTCGTGTAGACATGATAAAAAAGATGTCGGTTTTGCTAATTAAATAAAATACCGGTCGATTGAGCTAATAATTTTTTTTAATAGGGTGTTTAAAAAAATCTATAATGTTCTCTCTTATTGGGCATCTAGACCTTTCACCATTTAGAGTTTCATGGTATATGCTGGGCAATGCGAGAAAAAGGAGGGGGGGAAACTTAATGAGGACTTCATAAAGAAAAACATATCATATAGGGGTGAAAGAGAATATAACATATGTCTCCTGCTGTGCATTCTAAAGTTGATGATTAGAATGATATAATATTCAACGAATTATCAATTTGATATTTTTTTTACACCCCTCTTATCAGCTTGCTATCTTTTCTAGCTTTGGTGACGTTTTGATATTGATTCTGAGTCAAATGTGCAATTAGACTTGTCACGAAACATCTTTCCTCATCAATTTTTTCACCCTAAGCTTTCTCTTCACTATATTTGAAGGTAAGTCCTTCCATTCTTTATCCCAAAATTTACTTTCTTGTAGCGGACACATCATTCTTACATAAGCTTGGACATAGTTGTCATCCATATACCAATGTGCCAAATAATCTTCTGACATTTTCCTCATGAATAAGATAACACTACTATCATCATGTGAGGTTTCACAGCTCTCTTTTTCCTAGTAGTGAAGTTTTGGGTCTAACTGCACACACTGTCTTAAAAAGCATCTGCCTAGTCGGTCTAGACGTTTGACTAGGCCTAGGCGATACCTAGGCTGTCCCACTAGCACCTAGCGCCTAGGTGGTACCTAAGCTGCCTACCTAGGTTTTGAGAGTATTTAGGAGAACATTGTCTACATATGTGGACTGCACCCTTTACATATTGATCGTGATTTTCTGTATTGCAGCCTCCATGTCCTCCAACATCCTTCAAACTCCTTTAATCTCCAAATATGAACACCCTACTACCTCCTTCGATCTTCAACAAAACCTCATCGACTACCACTTAAATGGAGAAAGAAATACGCCTAGACACCAGTCAAGCACCTAAGCTTTCTATAACATTGACATTTACTATCAATTATTATAATTAGAAAATAAAAAAAACCTCCTAGGTTCTAGGCGTCGGATCCAATGTCTAAGCCTCCTATCGCTTTCTATAACCTTATAAGTTATTATTTTGTCTATTTAGTATTTAAGTATGTGTGGTTTATTGTAGATCTAATCTTGCTATCTATTTTTGGTAAATTTATATGAATTTAATATGTATTTTAATCAATTATTAAAATTAAGTAATTTTAAAATACCCAAACGTCTAGGGCGCCTAGTCCGCCTAGCGCATTCTGTAATATTGATTGCACATTTAGCCCAAAGAAAGTACCAAAACATTATCGGAGAAAATACTAAACTGATAAGTGGGGTATACAAAAATTAACAGTCTAATAATTTAGCCTATAATATTCTAATTATATCAATATTTTAACTTATAACACATACAATTTCATGACTACCCATCCTATCATAACTGGTTGCATGCAGCGACCGGTTCTGAGCCCTTCGATGGGCAAGTTAAGGGGGGCAAAGTTATAACTTTGCCCCCTACTTTGCTCATCAAAGGGCTCAGAACCGATCATGCATGCGACACTACTTCAATTCCATATCTTGACAAAGTCTCCTAGTGCGAATGTACACTTGTAAGTCTGATAATTCTAGCTTATTTTAGGTTGATGTTAAGCGGTAAGCCATGATTATGCTTTCAAGTCAATTATAATTAGTCCCCAGTGATCTCCTACCAAATCATCGGTTTGGTATTTTAAAATATGTATACGCCCACACACACATGTATACATTTATATTACATAATTTATTCCTTGGTGAATTTTCTACTTTATAAGGATTTTTCTAACTGGCCATGTAACAAGCTTTGGGCCAATAGATCCTAACGCAATTAGGTTTAGGTCATTAAATATAGAGATACTCTTCAGGTTTGGCTAAACTACCAAATTGGTATTTTTATTCGACTCTGTTAGCCAGTTTGATATATTTAAAAACTCCGGCAACAAGAAGATATTTTTATTCAACCCTGCTTACCAATAAGATCATTTTCTCAAAATTCCGGCAAGAAAATTTGTTTTAACCCCCTTACCTCCCAAAATTATTAAATACATACCCAAAATTATCAAAAAAAGAAATGCATCCCCTCCCTCTCCCTCTCCTCTTCCTCCTCCTCCTCCTCCTCCTTGTCGTCGTCCTCCTCCTCGTCCTCTCCCATTCCTCTCTCCTCCGCCTCCAACACCAATGAGCGTGTTAGTTTTTTCTAATTCGAAAATATCTCTCTTGCTTTGCTCGTTAAATATTGTTTTGATCGTTACATCTAAAAATATGTTGCTATTCGAAAATATCTCTCTTGCTTTGCTCGTTAAATATTGTTTTGATCGTTACATCTAAAAATATGTTGCTATTTAGCTTTTGACGATTTTATTGATTCGTTAAATATTGTTTTGATCGTTACATCTAAAAATATGTTGCTATTTAGCTTTTGACGATTTTATTGATTATGATCTATGTTCAGGTGATTTACTTATGATCCAGAGTGAAGAGAAAGAGATGTATTTCTTCTCCCCTAGACATCCAACACACATAAGCTCTAAAAGGGTTAACCGAACTGTTGGTTGTGGATTTTGACATGGGAGTGCAGGTGACACATGGATTATGGTTGGAAGTGAAGTTATTGGCTGTTGTGTGCAACGAAAATTTCGGTAGCACCTCGGCGCAACAACAAGAGAGTTAGGTCGCAATAATAATTCCCGTTTCACAAAAGAAACATGAACCAAAAGTAAAATATCTCAACAAAGTGATATATTAGCTCTTCCTCTCATCAGTACTAAGATTGACCTGTCGAGGGAACCTAAATAAGCTATTACAAACCATACAAACAGCGGGACAACCAATTTTACGTGGTTTGGCAAATTAACGACGTCCACGGGACAAGGAGGGGGGAGATCTACTAATAGAGAGAGAATACAAATAGGGTTTACAATCACACAAAGTAAACCCTCACACAAACTCTCAAATCTCTCACAAAGGGGATGCTCAAACTCTAAAAAAAACAGCTGTCTGTTTTCTCTTGTTGCACGCAGCCCAAAAAGAGAACTCTACGACGTTTGTCCTCTGCCTGTACAGCCACCGAAAAATCTCCTCTGCCAAGAAAAAAAACTCACAGCCGAAAAAATCCTTGCACCAAACCCTAGAATAGACTATCGCAAGGTATTTATAACAATTCGGAATCGGGCCTCATGTTCACGTGCTTTTTTGCTTTGCTCGTGGCCCCCACACGCACGTCCTTTGCTTCATTCACGTGGTTGCTTCATTCACGTAGTGGCCCCCCATGTTCACAATTCTCCACCTCGGTAAAGTTTTCCCAAAACTGAGCCGACACCAAAGCATCCAAATGTCCCACTTATTGTGTCCAGTACGTCGTGAAGTTAATACACGACAACGGACTCAATCCATAACAAGTCGTGAACCCGAATGAGAGTCCAAACAATCTCACCCTTATCAATATCAACTAATCTAAACCGGCTGCATCGTAAAGACTGCCTACATATCCTCTTATCTAAGGAATCAAGCCTCACGTAGTTCACCCAAATGGCCGTCAACGGCCTCAACAATCACGAATATGCAACAAGTTTCGACAATGATCAAACTTGTTGCTCGGAACCACCTTTGTCAGCATATTTGCCGGATTATCCTTTGTGTGGACCTTCACAATCTCCACATTGCCATCTTCAAGAACATCCCGAACGAAGTGATAACGAACATCAATGTGTTTCGTCTTCGCATGAAAAACCTAATTCTTCGCCAAATAGATAGCACTCATGCTATCACAATAAATAGTGACAGACCGCTGCGATATACCAAGTTCCTCTAAAAGTCCCCGAAATCAAATAGCCTCATTCACAGCCTCCGTAATCGCCATATACTGCCTCCATCGTAGACAAAGCCACCGTCGACTGTAAGGTACATCTCCAACATACCGGCACACGGGTCAAAGTGAACACATACCCCGTCATAGATCGGCGCTTATCCAAATCACCGACATAATCAGAATTAATATAACCAATGCATAGCTGCCCACCTGTAGTGTCTCGCTCATAAATCAAACTAACATTGAGCGTACCTCGAATGTACCTCAAAATCTATCTCACGGCATCCCAATGACCCACTCCTGGATCGTGCATGTATCTCGAAACCATGCTCATCGCCTGTGATAAATCTGGTCTTGTACATACCATCGCGTCCATCAAGCTCCCAACCGCACTCGCATATGGAGTCTTTGACATCAACTCTCGATCTTCAACTGTCTTCGGTGAAAGATCAACTGAAAGCTTCAAATGGGCTCCCAATGGTACACTAACTAGCTTCATATCCATGCTAACATGAAATTACTGTAGAACCTTCTTCAAATAAGCCACCTGTGTCAAACAAATTCTTCCCTTCTTCTTCTCTTTGTCGATCTCCATCCCTAAAATGCGCTTCGCCTCACCGAAATCATTCATCTCAAACTCCTTTGAAAGCTGTGCCTTCAACTCATCTATTGTAACAACCGTAAATTTTAAT